TGTTGATATGTCCTAGTACAAAAAAGTGGTTTGTGGTTTATTAGGAAGACTAAATTACATTGTTAGGTTTATATTACATGTAATCTAATCTTCAAATTGTTATGAAAGAATCAAACAATATAGTGGAATGAGGATTGTCAAAAGGCTTTTGAAGAAATCAAACAGTACCTATAAATACCTCTTATCTTAGTTCCCCTAGTGTAAGGGAGACTACTCATTTTGTACCTAATAGTATTTAAGGAATCTATGAGGTGTATGGTAGGACAACATGATGAGTTCGATAAGAAAGAATATGTTATCTATTATTTGAGCAATAATTTCATAAATTGTGAAATGAGATATTCTTTATTAGAGCGAACATTATGTGTTTTGACATTTGTTACTCATAGACTGAGATATTACATGTTGTGTCACACTACCAGACTATTTTCTAAAATTGATCCAATCAAATATATATTTGAAAAACTTGCTCTCATTGGTCGAATTGTTCAATGATAAGTGTTATTGTCAGAGTATGATATTGCTTATATAACACAAAAGGTTATTAAAGATAGTGTTATAACAGAGTTCTTGACCCATAATCCCATAAAATATTATCAGTCGATGCAACATGAATTCCTAGACAAGAACATATTGTCATTGTTTGAAGAAGGAGGAATAATAAATGAAGAAAAATTGACGTTGTTGTTTGATGGAACGTCTAATGCATTAGGGCATGGAATTTGTGCAATATTGATTTCTCCTTAAAGTCACATTACCCGTTTACTGCAAGACTAGATTTTGATTTCACAAATAATATGACAAAATATGAAACATGTGTGATGGGGTACTTGCAACAATTCAAGGCCAAGGTAATGGAAGTTTTTGGAGAGATTCAGCCTTAGTCATCCATCAACTTAAAGGAGAATGAGAAACTCAAGATTCAAAGTTAGTCCCGTATCACTCCTATATTAAGGGATTGTTGGAGCAGTTTAATGAAATAAATTTCCATCATATTCCTCGCGAGAAAAATCAATTAGCTGATACTTTAGCTACTTTATCTTCAATGTTCAAATAAGTTAGGAAGAGGACATGCCCTTGATAAAAATGCATCATCAAAAGCAACCAACATATTGTCAAACCATAGATTGTCAAACCATACAGGAAAAGTTTGATGGAAAACCATGGTTCTATGACATCAAAGGTTACTTGAAAGATAGAAAGTATCCTTCTAATACTTCAAAAAATGACAAGAAAACATCAAGGAGGTTGGTAATGAGATTTATCTTGAATGGTGATGTGTTATATAAAAAAAATCATGACATGATGTTGCTTAGGTTTGTTGACATAGTTGAAGCTAAGAAAATAATGGAACAAGTTCATGAAGGTTCATTTGAAACACATGCAAATGAACATGAAATGACAAATATGTTGATTATATCCATGCACCAACGACATCTTTAAATGTTTTGGCTGCACCGTAGACATTTGCAATGTGGGGTATGGATGTAATTGGATTAATCAAACCTAAAACATTAAATGAAAATCGCTTCATCTCAGTGATAATTGATTACTTCACCAAATAGGTCGAATTAACATCATATGTCAGTGTGACAAAGTATGTGGTAATAAGTTTATAAAGAAGGATTTAATTTGTCGTTACGGTTTGTCAAACAAAATCATGACAATGAGACTAATTTAAATAACAATACGATGAAGCTGTGGTATATATTTAGTGATAAATAATTTTTATTTGTTCTCGATTACTCATTGATGCATAAAAAACAATTTTAAACAATATCATTATTCTATTAATTTTTTTATTTTGAGAGAACTATGAAGTGATTTTTGGAAAAAAAAGAAAAAAGAAAAAAAAAAAATATATATATATATATATATATATATATATATATATATATATATATATATATATATATATAATACATAACACATCAAACAAGACTTACAAAAAGTAACCAATTATTTGGACATACAAATCTTGCCTACCACCTATTTAATACTTAAAAAAAATTGTTATTCTTCACTTTTTTTCATTCTTAAATAAATATTATTTTTTATTCTACTTCCCGAAAAAAATGAATTATTTTATAATTTTGAAATTGTTATTCTTCAATTTTGTTATACTTATGTAAATAAGTATTTTACATTCAATTTCCCCAAAAATAAATTATTTTATATATTTTTTTAAATAAGCATTTATGAAAATTAATAAAATATTAATATATCACAGTTAAATTGTTTTTAAAAATTATTTTTTATTTTGTTTATTTTTAAATAGTAACTTTGATGAAAAAAAAATTAAACATATTTTTTAATAATCACCGTAATTAATTCTAAAAGACATTTTAACAAAATTTATGTATAAGGCGCCTGACTTATAATCATATTCACACACAACAATAAATTATATTATTATTATTACTGATAAATATATTATATATTTATTATATTAAAAAAATATTGTTTTATTAAATTAGTTTATACTCGATCTAACGTTTTTATTTATCGGAAAACATTAATCTTTAAATGTATGATAACTAATTACATGCGTTATTTTTTACATATAAGTTTAGATTTTTGTTATTGAATATAAGATTTATAGTAGATTTTCATTCAGAATAAAAAAGTGAATTATCATAAACAAAGAACACAACAACATAAAGATAACATAAAAAAATTATTTAATTAATAATATACTAATTTAGTAACGTATTTTGACTTAAATATATCTTATTTCATTGTGACTAAAGGATTAATATTTAATTATTTTCTATTTTTTAAGAAATTTTAAATAATTATTAATTTTTTTCTTTTATTTATCTTCTAAGTCATGTCGTTAAATAATTGATATAAATTTTAAAATAAATGATCATATAACTTAAATTAATCTAATAAATATTATCTTAAATAATTAGTATTTTACTTTAATATTTTAATAAATAATTTTGAGGGAGTTACTCTAATACTTTGCTTTAAACATTAAAAAAATATCTCCATAGTTTTTTTTAAAACCGTTTCTGAAAATATTAATTTTAACATAAAGTATTAAAGAAAAACACAATATAATTAATAACAGTATTAGATTAACAATTAAATTCCGTTGTTATTTTCATTACACCAAAATAATAAAAGATAGTACAATAAAATTGAAAATTATTATAAATGAACTCTTAAATGACTTTAAGAGCGCATAAGAAAAAAATATTAGTCTTTACTTTGATTAGTGGAAATATAACGCATTAACTAATAGAACAAAATATCAGTCTTTATTTTTACTTCTTGTTGTATCTATCATATTTCTTCCTCACTTCACATTTCTCTCTTTATTCTTCATATACTTCTTTTTTTAAATATATATATATATATATATATATTTTTTTTTTATATTCTTTATTCACTTCTTATATTATTATTTCATTTGATAAATGATAATATAATTTTATAGATGATAAAAAAATTATAAATAAGAGAATATTTGTATATAATGGTATAAATAAATAAAAAAGTTAAGAAAAGTTGGAACACAGTGAGTTATGAGTTGGAGGGAAGGATGAATAGGGCAAAAGGCTCATATCTAAGTTGGAAAAAGGAGAGGCAGAAAAGACGAAGTTGAGGTTGGAAAGGACAGAGTAATGTAATACAACAACACTTTTGTTCTCACTTCCTAGAATAAGTACTAGACAGAGTACCACCTTCCATTCAAACCAATACCATTTCGCAGATCCAACCCAAAGGATTACATTAACATTCATAACCAACAATCACAACAACGTATGGGCCTCGTTAAGTTCAATGCCGCATTCGTCCCCGTTTGCGCTTCTTCTTCTTCCTCCCTCTCTCACACTTCAGGTTCTCCTTAATTCCCATTCTTCATTATTATTCCAATCATTTCATTGTCTTGTCTTTTAGGTACACTTTCATAACTCTTTTTATTCCATTATTTAATTATTGAAATGGAGTTTTTTTTTTTTTTCAATAACAAATGGACTGAAGCTTAATTTTATATATGAGATTGTATTGCATTTAAATTTTGTGATATATAATTTTATTTTCTCGATAGTTTTTAGTAAAGCTATTTCATTCAATTCCCGTCATTAACGATGTGATTGGCGAGCCATGTATTGAGGATAACATTGGGTTTTGAGATAAAATAATAATAATAATAATATAATATAATGTTTCCGAATTTTGAAGAATCCAATGTTACCGAACCGAAAAAGAAAATTAATAGAGAGGTGGTCATCAATGAAGTTTTGAGCCGAATTCGGTGTTTTGAAGCGGACGGTTTGTTTGTTTCGTCACGTCAAGGATAGTGAGGGTCCACCGAGGGGGAGAGCATGTGTGAAACTAGTCAAACCAAACTACATAGGATAGGATTTAGGATTGTGTTGTGTTAGTAGTGGAGTTGTTACTTGTTACAGTGAGTGAGGTCTAATCTGATGTAACAAACAAGATCGTGGGAATGGTGGGGTGGGAAGTTACCAAACCAGAAGAACCGAACTAATCACGATTACGAACACAGAAAAAAAAAAACACGAAAGGGCCAAAGACAAATGGAAAACGAAAGAGGAGTTATTTTGTTGGTCACATGGATAGGATAATAAAATGTATGACTATGTAATGAATCTTGATCTTCCCACGTGGTCGTATAGGGCCCTATAGGCCCAATGTAACAGCTCACGGCTTGTCTAAGTCATTTTGCTTTTTTTGTTTGTCGGGGCAAAACACGACAATGGATACTGTTCAAATTACCACTCTTCCTTGTTTACCATACGCAACTCCTTTGATTATGTCCCCCTCTTAAGTGATAGTGTTTGGTTCCACCCAAAACACAACATTTCTGCCTAGTTGATTAGTGCATTTGATTTGGTCATGCACTACCTCCTCAGCTTGTGAAGAAAAGAAAAAGAAAAAAGAAAACATTACATCTTTTTAGTTCCTCTCCTGAACCAAGTGACTAGTGGCTTTGTTTGAGAAAGGTTTAAAGAAGAAAGGGTTGAATGAGGAAGTCTCCTGATTGGTTGTATGCAGATCATGCAACGTGTGGCTCCCCCGCGTGGATTGGGAAAGGACTCACTTGTGTTTGCTTCAAGCGTAAGGGAAACTGTCAACGAATCTGCATCAGTTTGACCCCTTTACAGGTTGGTGGTTTACAATGCAGACTCTGTTGTTTTACATCGTTGACTGGCTGTGTTTTTCTACTTGAATAACTGCTGTATAATTTTTAAGCTTTTTGGTTTCTGGACTAGTTCAGATTTAGTTCATGTGTCACATTTCCTCCACAAAATAACCCTCCTAGCCAGGGCATTGTTCGATTTACTTAAACCTGTTTAACTGCTTTGTCACTGGAAAAGCTTCCAGCTTTCTGCTTTATAATGATCTCATTGTGCTTATCTAACTGTTCATTCAAAATAGAAATCCTTTCTTTCTATGTTACAGTGAAGTTATCGAAGTTGTCTTTTAACCAAATTGTGTTTCTCTATCAGTTCAAGGAGTTGAACTGTTTGTATATTGTCCCTTTCCATTCTTCTCAAAGGCTGCAATTTATAAATGCACAACTGTGTCAATGACAGCAGGTGTTCGTGAAAATATTTTTCAAGATAGTTTTTGAGCATAACTGGAAACTTTGGAAACAAACTAACTTCATATTTTTCAAAGGTAATTTAAAATTGTTATTAAAACTAGAATTTCCAGTTATGTGAAATCTTGTTTTGTTTTCTGAGAATATTTGCAGAAAAAAATATTGAAAATGTATTCAACATTTGTTTCTGTAGTGTCTGTTCCTTCATAAATGGTTCTATAATTTTTTACTCTTCTATATTTTCCTGCAATGAAATCATTGAAGACAGAGAGCAGTGAGCAAAACAAGAAAATAAAAATGAAAAATGAATTCATTAAGCAGCAACTCTAAAATTTTTGTAGGAGGAAAGGCTAAGAAGACTAAAGCGCCGAATGAAAGTTTACTTTGATGGTTCGATGTTTGATCACCAGGTACAAATCTGTAACATATAACTTCGTTGTATTATTTTCTTTGCATTGAGTAAGCATCGGTTGCCGAGGGACTTGCTGGAATCCTATTTTCTGTTAAATTTATAGCAGCAAATTGACACGTAAAGTTGATGGTTCAAGCCATATTTATCAGAATTGACATTTTTACTTATGCACATATTTCTAGCCTTCTTTTGCAAGTTACTCATCCAGAAATTCTTTCAAGAACAGGAAGCGTTGAGAGCTCTGTGGTCTGCATCATTTCCTGGACAGGAACTGCAAAGCTTGATTTCTGAACAATGGAAAGAAATGGGATGGCAGGGTAGAGATCCGTCTACTGATTTCAGGTTATATTTGCCTTATCAAGTTATCACCCCGTTCTTACGTTTTTGTGCTGCTTTCGCTATTGACATGTCATTGTCATTTCTTTTGGAACAATTTTGTGAACAGAGGAGCTGGTTTCATTTCATTGGAGAACCTACTTTTCTTTGCAAAGACATTCTCAGTAAGATTCTGAACTATCTTTCGGTGATACCGTTTCAATCTTAGACTCCCAATTGAAAATAATCGGATCTTAATCATGACTTTAAGTAAAAACTTCATTGATTTTTCTAAAATAATGTGACATTTTATGTATGAAAGAAATAGGTGTTTTTGCTCAACTTCTGCAAAGAATTAATTAATTTGCTTATGCTTTTATTTTCCTCTACTTGTTGCAGACTTCTTTTCAGCTACTGTTGAAGAAACAAGGAGGGAAAGGAGCTGTTTGGGAGTATCCCTTTGCTGTTGCTGGCGTTAATATCACATTTATGATTATGCAAATGCTGGACCTTGATGCCAGTACGTGATGAGAAGTGTTTTGAACCTAGATGTAGTTCTTGACTTGTTTTAGTGACACACTCTCCCCTTTGTTTCTTGTGGCCTAAGTCTCCAAGGATACTCAAACTAAACAATTTCTTCACTTGCAGCCAAACCAAGGACTTTTGTCAGAGCAGTTTTTCTACAAATGCTTTCAGGTCAGAATGAGTAACTGTTTTGAGATATTACCTGTTATTGTATCTACCCTAGAATTCAAAGGGAATTTCTTACCATTCCTCTTCCATTCTCATATATTTGCAGAGAATGAATGGGCATTTGATTTGCTTTATTGCGTGGCATTCGTTGTAATGGACAAACAGTGGCTGGAGAGAAATGCTACATACATGGAATTCAATGTAAGACTCCATTACGTGCTTGTTAAGTATAGTTTTTCAATGATCAACAGTGAAATGCAAATATGCCACTAGTATGACACATAACACGGGTCACCACATGTAAATTCGTGTGCAGGATGTATTGAAATCCACGCGAGTTCAGCTAGAGAAAGAGTTGCTGATGGATGATGTTCTACGGATTGAAGACATGCCTTCTTACAATCTTCTTTGTTGACAAGAGGCTCAATGATTAAAACATTCCCTTCTACCGAAGCATAGTTTGTGTACATCCCTGCTCACTTGCTTAATGACATTTAATCTGTTACCATTAACTGGTAATTTGTCCTTATGATTCCTCACTTATTGACTAATGAGTAATGACTAGTGCTAAAGAATTTTCCACATTGCGGGAAAGATTTGTTTGTATCTTTACTTTGCTTCAACGAGATTCTCGTTTGTAAGTTTTGACTAATTAGTGATTGGAAGCCTAGATTATTGGTATGTATCAATTGAATCCATTATTCCAACGAGTTCATTGCATGCTAAAGCTACTATTTTTAGAGTTTTGTTGTACATTGCTGCCAATCTTTCACGAGCTCTTCCATATCACTGTGCCCACATGTCCTTTCTTATTCTGGTTTCCGAAAATGTGTACAGTAATTTCACGTGAGAAAAAAAAAACATGTTGGAGTGTACTTGGATGTGTGTAAATAAAATTAAAGATAACGTTGAAATGATGTTGTTTATGTTTGCAAATTTGTATTATAAAAGCAATTTAGTAATAAAATTCAGTATAATTTTTTTACCCAAGATAAAAGTAGTTCAAAATTGTTTCAATTCAGAATCGTCTGTGGTGTCAAGATTAATAATATATTTCTACTTATATTTCAACATGATTTTAAAAAATCCAATTTGAAACTAAACAGAACTTAATTTATGCATTTTTGCGGGCATACAAATGTTTTCCAAATGGATAATTATAGAATTTAATTGTCATACATGGTCAGTCTAATGATTTTGAATTGTCAACAGATAACAGATTAAAACAATTTAATAAATCAATCTGTGGAATATATTGTTTTTGATAAAATAATTGTTCACTTTCTTGATGATACGAACTATATAATTGGATCAAAGGAATCATATCTCCAAATACAAAATTTCACTGAATTCCACCCTGTTTACTGCTGATAACTCCTTTTTAGCATAATTTATCACCAAGACCGTGAGTGATATTTGCTTTAACCCTTATTATAAACAAATTTCTTTTTTTTTTGTTCTGAGTTCTGAATCCTGCAAAGATACAGTAGTATCTTCTCGTATCAAGAATAGTTTACAATGGACTGAGCCACACACCATGTGGGGCGCAATCATCACACAGTTTGTGGACCCGGACTATCCTAATGGTATTTGTTTTTGAACTCAGAATAACATTCAACCCTTGTTCAACATTTCATAAAGGAGAAAGCTAATTAAGGATATGATGTTATTGAGTTTGCCCTGCAAACAAGCTAAAATGAAGCATGCTATCCAAGTGGCATGACAATGCATGTGCTCTGAACACAGGCTTGTTTTGTTACTACTTGCCACCTTAGCAATCACAGGAAGGTACCACTGAACGGGCATGAATTTACTGGAATAGAGTAGCTTCAATTTAATCAGTGATCCCAATTAATCCAAGTAATATAAGTTTGAGTTTCAGATATATATGATTAGTATTTAGAAAGAGAGTATTTTGTCATTTATGGAAATTGTATGAGTCTAACAAGATGGTCTCTGATAAAAAAGAAGGAAGAAAGAAAATGAGGTGTTAATGATTGCTGTGTTCCCATGCCTGAGGAAGTGGAACCAAAGTGTAGCGTAAACTTGAGCTTAGCTAGTTACGAGTAAATGGGAGATTTCAGTCCTTATCATTTACCAGCAACTTAGTGTACTTCTGATATGTTATCAAGTGTTAATATTTTAGAGAAGTGCACATTCCACCAATCCAGCAATTAATAACCATCTTTTTAATTCAAATTTAAAACCGAAGTTTTAGATATTGATGCCTTTTCAATACCATGTGTTTTGAAGTGTGATGCTAAACCATTTCCTTTTTACCTGTTTAATGCTAAACCAAGGACTATAAAGATGGCTTCTTCTCGTAACAAATATAGCTGGTGGTCCCTGGTGTACGTACATTTGATTTCCGTAGGCCTAATATTTTTGAGACATTTGATCACAAAATTCTTACTAAGAGTAATATTTCTTTCACCTTTTCATTTTCTTTTAGCCTAATAGATCACATAAAAGGAAACGTCCTTAATAGTGAAATTCTTTAGTTTGACCCAAAAAAAACTCAACAATTAGAATATTCATTAATCGTATTTTTCTGTAACATAATTTTTTTTGCACATGCAAATAATTTTTCACAGGTTTATACTATACATAAGTCCATGTGTCATGTGTACAACACATGTATACGTGCAGCCGTCGCATGCAAAGGATTGCTTAAATGACATAATGATTTGTACTCATGTTCGTTTCTTTATTAGGTCATCAGTGTGTTAAAGCAAACTCTTGTCTTTCTTAAACCTTATTTTTGGGTAAAGACAGAATTGATCTCCAGTATTGTTCGTGAAATGTTGTCACTTTAAAATGATTGAGAAGGGAAAAATATTTATATTCATTGGTCCGTACTGATTAACATAGTAGTTTTTCCAAAAAGAAAACGGGACTGAAGTTCGCTGCTTCTTCCTTGAAAATTCATCAATTATTCTATCATATAGCAGGTGGCTTCTATGTTTGATCATCTATAATATATATCCTCCTATCCTAGCATGATGTCTGACTGTGTTAATAATATACTTATTAGTAAACCCATTTTATTATATTTTTATTGTTAATTGCAATTGATCAGATTTAAGATTTTACAATTATAAAAGACTTGTTATAATAAATGATTAAAAAGTAATATATTATCAATATTTTTTTCTGACTGAGACTTGTCCTCACGTTTTATCAACATTTTTTCTTGTTGAATTTGATTAAAAATAACTCTAAGGGATGCCAAATCCCAAAGGGTGTACACAGTAAAATTCATGAATGCAATATTCTCATTTAACAATTTCATCTTTGTGCTGCCTTTCGTCCTTGACAAGACACAGCTCAGCTTTACTTTGTGCTGAATAGGGTAGAACGTTTTATTCAGTGTTTTTATAAGAACTCACAATACACGTGATAATGATGGCGTACTAAATTCGATCTCACTTCTGGAAGCTTGCAAGAAAAACAATGCACTTAAAATCCATTACAAAAGGCAAAAAATAATTATGTCATACTTATCTATCCCAATCAAGATCAGCATCATATGTGTGTGAAAGGTAACGTAGGAATCAAGTCCTAAAAAATAAAAAGTGCTATACTTGACGGAGCCTGGTGCAAAACACATATCACATCTGGCATCACCGAATAAGGAAGTCCATCAATTTTAGGTTCTAAAGACAGAGACATGTAATACAATTTAAAAAATAAAAGAGGGGGGGAAAAGGTAAAGTCTGAAGGATCAAATGACTGGCTGATTCTTGAACCCAAAGCTTACATTACCCACTTCTGCCATCCTTGTCTTTTAAGCAAGAACTAATACCAAATGCAAATACTATCCATCCCCACTCACACCAAAACTTCTTTCTCATCTTTCATGAATTTTGCTTCTTCATTCAGTTTCTTATTCAGGAGGTTCTCTCCTCAGTAGTCTCCAAGTTTGAGACATATTGAAGGGTACATTCAAATCAAATGGGTTCATTCCAGACACCAATTGGAATGAGAAGTTCCACATTGCTAGAGACTTCATGTGGGTTCCTGTTACAGGAACTGCAGGCAAGAGACTTATTTATTTCATGTATTATGAATGTCTTTAGATAACTATTGCATGTCATTTCTTATTATCTTGAATGAATTTAGATTATATGGGATGAAGTTGGAGAAGACAAATTCGAAAGGGAGAAGGTTCTACTAGATTTGGAGCAAGAGTGCCTTGAGGTTTACAGAAGAAAAGTTGACAGAGCAAATATATCTAGAGCTCGTCTGCATCAGGAATTGGCCGAGGCTGAGGCTGAATTTACTCACCTTCTTTTGTCCCTCGGTGAACGATCTCTACCTGGACGGGTACTTATTCCTTTTAGTAATCTGCAGTTAGTAGTAAAACAATCAGAACTAAAAGCAATGATAAGCAAATTAGATCTTATTTCATACAATCTAAAATGAACATGTGCTAATTTTTAGAGTCAATTACAAATTATTGATCGAATAACATTTATGCTTTCAATTACGTCTCATCATTGAAATTCGACACAATATTCTATAATGAGATAATTGTGAAAAATATATCAGAAAATAGATAAGTTGCTGGGCCAAGCTTTTGCAAGCAATACAACTTTGCAAGAGAATCTTTTTGAATGTGACTTCCATAAAAATTTATGCTTCCACAAGACATCATGAATCAGTGTAGACTCTGAACTGACGACACTAGTAACTGAACAGCCGGAGAAAAGGGCAGGTTCACTAAAAGAGCAGCTAGATTCAATCACCCCAGCACTCCAGGAAATGCGTTTGAGGAAAGAAGAGAGGTTAAACCAATTCCGAGCTGTGCAAGGTCAAATTCAAAAAATTTCTGCCGAAATTGCAGGCAACTCAGAAAATGAACCTTCATCCATTATTGTAAACGAGAATGATCTTTCACTAAAAAGACTTGAGGAGTATCAGAATGAGTTGAAAAGACTTTACAATGAGAAGGTATCAAAAAGCCATTTATGTTTTTTACCCATCATTGAAAGGGTAGTATTCTTCACAATTGTGACAATTTCAATTAATTTATTGTGATTTCATTTGAAGAATGAAAGACTTCAGCACGTGGAGAAATACATTGACATGATACACAGCTTGTCCACGATCTTGGGAAAGGATTCTTCAGCAATCATCATGGAAGTTCATGCAAGTTTAAATGACTTGTGTGGAATAACAAAAAATATAGGTGACACTATCTTAGATAAACTCAACATCACGGTGGAGTCCCTTTTTGAAGAAAAGCAAAATCGGCTGGACAAGGTAAAAAAATTCTTTTTTTGTTATATGTAAACATTGTTGAATTTGAAAACCTTGTCTGTTATTAAAGGAACTTGAAAACATCTTTTAGCTCTAATGGCTATCCAGCGACTAGTTTTTTTTTTTCCCTTCAAAATAGATAAATAAATAAAAAAGATATCTTGGGTACAAAATTATAGAAGTTTTGGTATGTTGTTGGAGTACTAACCTGTTGAGTGGCTATTGTAAAATAAATGCGTGAGGAAGCTACCAGTGTTTAGTATTTTGTTCTTCACTCTTATGCTTTCCATTTCACAAGTTTGTCATATTCATGATATATTTTTCAGCTTCACCATTTAGGCAAAGCACTGTCAAATATATGGAATCTTATGGACACACCATACAATGAGCGACACTCATTTTCTCACGTAATCAATTTGTTGTCACTCTCGTCAGCAGAAGTAACAGATCCGGGAAGTCTTACTCTAGAAATAGTCCAGCAGGTTGGTATCTAACTTAAATGATCCATAAAATATCAGAAACTCAAATATTTAAAATATCGCAACTTTTTACAAGACTGAAGCTGAAGTAAAGAGACTGGATCAACTAAAAGCAAGCAAGATGAAGGAGCTATTCCAGAAGAAACAGGAGGAACTAGAGTTGATATGCAAGAAATCACATGTGGAGATTCCTTCAAGGGAAGAGATGAACAATATAATTAACCTCATAAACTCAGGTGAATCTAAGAATATACGTAATGTGTGTATATTCCCTTTCAAAAACTGTACATGTTTATTTACTTTAAAACACCAGCCTTGAAATTGACTTACATTTACAACAGGGGAGATTGATCATTCGGATCTCCTCTTGAGCATGGATGAACAGATATCAAGAGCAAAAGAAGAGGCTTCAAGCAGGAAGGCTATCATGGAGAAAGTGGAGAAGTGGATGTTAGCACGTGATGAGGAGCGCTGGCTAGAAGAATATAGCAGGGTTAGAATTTTCATTTGAATCGATATTCATAAATAGGTTTAAAGGGAAACTATCTATTGTATCTTTTACAATCCAAGTGTGCTATCAGGATGAGAATCGATACTCTGTCAGTAGAGGAGCTCACAAAAACTTGAGACGTGCTGAACGAGCCCGTATAATGGTCAGCAGAATGCCAGGTACATTTATATACATCAAAACAGATAATTTAGACCAACTGGCAGCACACCCAATGTACTTACAAACAATGGTTGCGATTTCCAGCTTTGGTTGATTTGCTAATAAAAATGACTAGAAGTTGGGAAGAAGAAAGAAATAAAGTTTTCTTGTATGATCAGGTAAGACATCTTACACTCAGCAACACTTTAAATAAAGTATATTTATGCTTAAAAGGTGTACGGAAGGAGTCTAAATAATTCTCAAAAAGGAATAAGTGAGATTTTGGAAATTCAGAGAGCATCCAGCATATTATGTGAGGTTAAATAAGTATGAGCAAAGATTCCCATCTATAGTGTATTCCTTGATGTTATAGTCGTACACCCAGACAGTGTCTCAGGTAAACTGATTGATATAAAGTATTAAAGCAAAGAAAGCTTTAGGTTCCATTCTATGGACAGTGTGCTTTCACCAAATAATCAAGTCATTCAGATAACATTCCTTTAATATATAACACTTAGCATACTGGTGCACATGAGAAAGCAGTTCGCAATCAGAACCTATTCTTTATAAAGCCAATGCCAAATTTTTAAACCAATTAGAAATTAACATTTTGGCATACGAGCAATAATGAAACTCTAGTTTCTTCTATTATGCAATGTGCCGCATTGCAAACTCAGTTAATCAAGTAATGTCATAATCCATCAATAGATAACAAAGAGTTACACCTCATCATCTCACTTGAAGATGGTAAAAAACCTTAAGAATTCCACGAGGCAGATAATGTTATACACATCTAGACTTCTAGCTTTGTTTATGTTGACATCAAATGGTTTCGGAAACCTGACAATGTGTCAATTTCTTTGCTCATGGTCCAGTATATACGATTCTTAATTCCCCTTTATTAGTATGATGTTGTGGTTTGTTGATTTTATAACAGCATGCACAAATGATACCTTTGTAGGTACCTCTGATGGCCATATTGGAAGAATATAACATACTAAGACGAGAAAAAGAGGAGGATATGAAAAGACAGCAGGTGAGTGTTTGATAGTACAGTGACAGACAGCTTCACACATCAAATTTCCAACTTTATATTCTAGTTCAAATTAAGTTGTTTGTGGAAAGATTCTTGCCACATGAATTGCAATATCCTAATAACCTTATTCCTACGTCATTTCTCCTGTTTGGTTTTCAGCCTTGGGAAAAAAAGAGAATTCAAAGTCAAGTAGTTGAGCGAGACAGTACTCATACGTCAAGACCCAGCACCAGCAGTAGGCGTCTTCCAAGTAGAAGCATGAATGGAGCTCTGGACAGTTCTGTGGTCATGAACAGAAGGCTTTCTATGGGAATCCAACAGCTGGGATCCAACAGCATCAATTCAGGGAATCAAGGCAAGTCCTTCATTAAGGATGGAAGAAATGCCCTCAGGAAAAAGATTTTTGGCGACCCTGCTTTCATCTCTCATATGAGAGATGACGCATCTTCTGCGGTGTCAACACATTTTATACCATTTTCCCCTTAAATTTCTTTTTCAGAATTCCTAGATTTTAGACTGAAATTGCTTCAGAGAGCTTGTTTCCCAAGAAAACTATTGTGAACCCGCAAAAGAATAAACATGGAGATTTTTATGTATTATGTTCCTAATCTTAAGTTGCCCCAAATGAACAAGCTCGTGCTCGGTGTCAACTGCAAGCAGATTAAGTTCTCTTATCATTGTTTTATTTGCAATTTTGCATCATGTATTCCTGTTTATGTACCAGGATTGCAAGATGCATTTCAAGATGTAGATATACTTAATCAGAAACCTAATCTGAGGAATTTGAATGATTATAAATGTGCTTGTATTCACATTGCAGCACAATGAACATGATGTCACAATGATACAAAGATTCCCGTTCGACATCTACTCAAAAGTAGAACTTGCCCCTTACAAAGTCACTTTATAGTTTTGCCAACTCCAAACAAGCAAACGAAATCAAAGTTGCTAAGGATCTGTGTGGTTACGAAGTCAAAAGAAAAAAGAAAAAAAAAAACTCTATTGGTAGCAAAGAATCTCTCGAGAGCTCTTCTAACCGGTTTCCAAACAGAAACTACATCAATTACCAGACAATCTAGATAACATAACTAATTGTAATCCCCTTTTTTTTGCAGTGTTAAATATTATATCTGATTAAGATCAGATGCAAAAGCTCAATTGCTATGTATAAACAAACATAACCTAAGACTCATCTACGGGTACTGGCGATTGAGCTTGCGCTAGAATTTCAGGCGATTGGACTAGAGCTGGAATGTCAGGATATTGGGCTTGGGCTGATATTTCAGGCGATTGGGCTTGGCCAGGATTTTCAGGCGATTCGGCTGGGTTTTGAGGATCTGGCTTTCGAAAAAATTGATCGATGCGGCGAGTACCAGGCGGAGGGGCATCATGTTTGGGGCGAGCCACGGGCTGAGTGGATTTATCGGGCTTGGCGGGCTGAGACGGCGGCGGAAGCTCATCGAGGAGAAAATCCCTGGTTGGCTGGTGCCTCTTTACGGCCATTCTCACGTGTTCGAGATTAACGGTCTTCCGTTTCTTCTCAATCGCAACGTTCGCAGATTTTTCAGCCAGAAATTGGAGGAATAACTCCGTGGATCGCGACACCAGGAACAACGCTTCTGAACTCACTCTCTTTATATCCTTGTCCAGCGTCATAATCTTCTTCACGCGACCCTTCGGGAATTCGAGTTGAATCGACACTCCGTTCTCTTCTTCCTCCGCCATAGAAACCATTTCAACTCTCTCTCTTCTTTTGCGGTGAAGTTATAGGTAGGGTTTTCAAATTGGCGGGAATGGGAAATTATCAGGGGCATTATCGTCTTTTGCACTAACCATTCCCGCCATTCATAAACAAATGTGAAGTGGGCCGGGCCTTAATGGCCTTTTCAATTTTTTGCCCAGGCCCAGGACAATTCTTTTTCTGTATTTAGTTTAGTGGAGTGAATGTCTGCTACGGGGAATTTCAAATTTGCAGTTGCAGGGTCACCGGTTTAACGTTTGGCGATCACAGAAGAGAATGGAGTTCTCTCAAGATGATTTCGATCGGTTACTGTTATTCGAGCACACGCGGAAGACCGCTGAAGCAAACTACGCGGAGAATCCTCTTGACGCTGATGTACGTATCGTTCTATTTCTAACCTAATATTTCTTTCTTAACATTTATGCATGTAAGATACTTTGCTCACGCTTGTGCTTTAGAAGTTCTGTATACCATATATGAAATCAAATTGTTACTAATATTGTTTTTCTGTTATTAGCCTATGTCACATTACGATATGGAAAATTGAAACGACAAAACTTAGATATAATGAAATTATATTCGAATTGGACTTTCGCCTATGTTCGAAATGCATGTTTGGATTAGAGGATTATGCAGATTGTTGAGGTGAAACTTCAATTCTGATTGGAGAACAACACCTAATTAACTGTAACTAAGTTTTGTTCAAATTGGAAATGATGTTTATGGAGTTATGCGTTTTCTAACTTTGTAGTTTATAAAATAGCTTAGGTTTATTTTGCTTACAGAAGTAGCTAGAACAAAAGTCAATGTGTCTAAACGTGTATGTGATATTCATACAGAATCTGACCAAGTGGGCGGGAGCTTTGATCGAGTTGTCGGCATTTCAGAGTCCTGGGGATTCCAAGGCGATGATTGATGGTATATCGCCTGTTAAATTAAGCAAAAATTAGAATCAAATTTCTGTGTTTGCACAGTGAAGGGCGAGTACTGTGATTGATTTGTTTTGGGTTTTGGTGGGAACCAACCCAACTAAACAGATGCCCTTTCAAAGCTGGAGGAGGCTTTGCTGATCAATCCAAAGAAGCACGACACTCTTTGGTACCTGGGAAATGCACACACGTCGTATGCATTTCTAACCCCCAATGTCAGTGAGGCAAAGGGTTATTTTGACAAGGCACATGAATATTTCCAGAAAGCTGTGGATGAGGTAATAATGTATTTGCTATGTTCATTCCTCTTCGTGTATTGTTACATGCTGTTGCAAAATTTCTAGTCACTTAGTGTTGGTTTTTGAAATTGTAGGATCCAGAAAATGATCTCTATAGAAAGTCCTTGGAAGTTGCTGTGAAGGTAATGGAATTGCCATGGCCATTGTATCAGTGTTATTTTTGCACTTGATTTTATTCTCGTGTTTAAACTTTTACTGAAAAAACATCAAACCAGGTTAAAATACCTTTTCTTCTCTGGTGTTTTGCTGGAGAAGTGTTAGTTTTTTCATCATTGATGGGAACCCAACTTGTTGACGTATATTAGTGTAAACTAGTTCACTATCAGTGTTAGCGTTCTGTTGTTTACTACTGGTTATCTAATGAAGTTCTAAATTTTATGTTGACTAATTTATATTCTGTTTAAGATTTGGTAAGTCTTACGGATGATTAAAACAAAATAAATTATTTGGCATGTTTGCTCTATAAATCTCAATGAACTCCTGATATCTCAGGCTTTGATAATCTTGATGTAGTTAACTTTGGTCTGTGGACTTTGGCTTTGATGCAAAAAGAGAGGTAATCTTTTGTTGATAGGGTAAGAACTAGCTAATTAGATGTATGTTTGTTGTGACCCAATGAACTGTTAAATATGCTCTCTCAACATTTGTACTCGTAGCATCAACTGAATTGCCATTATAACCTTCGTTCAATTCAAAACTTCGTACCCTGCACTTCAGCTCCATAAGCATTTATAAATGAAAACACATCATCATTCAACGGCACTATGAGCCATACACCAGAGCAACCTTATATGCTAATCCACGTTATACAAGGCCTCCAATATCCCCTCCCCCATTGCTGGAGAAACCAGATGAACCAGCTCTGTCTTCTCATTTTAATCAAAGTCAAATGCCACTAACTCATATAGCCTGCTGATCCAAACTGCAATTTCCCCACAAATGCAAACCGACCCAGTTGTGAACCATCAGCATGAACAGCCACCACACTTCCACCCCTGCACCACTATACCCAAAATGCTCAAGTTTGAATTTTTATTCCACTGAACGGCCCCACATCCAGTACCTTCTATGACGTTCATTTTTATTATTCACTTGTCAATATGTGAAAAACTTTAAGATTTAGGTGCATTTAAATTGAGGGGTTTGTGTAGTATGAGTAATTAGCTAGGCTATGATTATACTACTACATGATATTGATTTTATTCGAATTTTTTTAATAATTTTATATTGATTTGAAAATGAAACTAAAAATTGTTGAAACTGTGATAATTTTGTGATTCAAAATTTGTAAGTTCAATCAAATCAGATGAACTTTCTGAAATAATATCTTCTTTTCAATTAACTAAAATAAAAACTATTAACCCATAAACTTGATATCTATTTTTAAAGGATAGTTTTCATAATATAAGGAAAATAAAAACTCTCTGATTAATAAAAATTGATTGCTACTCTATTTATTTTAAATAAATTCTTAGTCGCATGTTTCTTCACACCCTCCAAACATATTGGTGATATATAGCCTTATGTTTTCTTGTGGATGGTTGTGATTTCACATTTAACAATCTTTATTAGCATTTATGATAAATAAGTCTTTCTGATAGAACAACTTTGGCATTCTTTCCATATGCTATCTGGGCAACTGCTTTCTTGATTCCTTTTTTTTTTCTGTTAACATTGTTTATAACTTGTCCAATATTATATCTTCTCTAATTTGATGATTTGCTGTGAACAATGTTTCATAGGCTCCTGAACTACACATGGAGATCCATAATAATGGGTTTGGTCCAATGAATAATGCGGGATCTTCTGCTACTTCAAAGGGAAAGGTTGTATTTATTGAAATTTCTAATTAAATGTTTGTCTTGTTCTTGCAAAACACTAATTGATGACTTAAAATCAACTTCAACAAGCTGTGTCAACTTAATGGAAGTGGCTTCTTGATAATTTCAAAATGCTCAGAGCAGCTCAAATGGAGTTTTTGTTTTTGTTCTATGGAACAAGCCTTGTTTAGAACCATAATGCCTCAAAAAGTTGTGCGGGCAAAGCTTTTTATGCAAGCGAGTCGTTTGGACTTGCATCAGTGTGTAAACAACACACTACCATGTATATTAAAAAAGTCTTCCTTGCCTTTTTTTTAGTTATGTTAGAGTCAATGCTTGTTCATGATGGGATTTTGCTAACGTTTTTTACCTTGGGGATGGACCCAATAATCATGCCTGCGCATTTATCAATTCTCTATTTGTGAAGCAAGCTTATTTGCATTTTGTGTTACTTGCAGATACAATTTAATTTCATCTAATTATGCTGTTAGAAAACATGTTGCAGAATTGATGTCCGTTTAACTAGATTTAGCAATTTATTTGCATTTGTTTCTGTTTGTTTGCCATATATTATTCCTCTGTGGCAGTAAAATATGAGTTTTGCATTAGCTAGCTAGGGTTGTGTTGGCCAACTTCGTTTTCTCAGAAAAAGATTTTACTTTTGTTACTCAGATCATAAATACTGAGGCTGATCTTCTAAATGTTGATGATTTAGATAACAAACTTTTTCTGTCCTTTGAACTACGCATCTTCTATTGTAGCTTATTATATTTCTGGACGTTGGAAAAAATTATGAAAGTAGCCTAATGGGATTAAATTGTCTAAAAAAGTTACGATTATAATTATGAGATTGTATGTATTCAATAAATGTTATTTCTGACAATAGATGCACTTCTGCCTTAGCCCGTTTATAGATGAACTTAATGTCATTGCTTGTTTCATTTCAGGAATCTAAAAGGCAGAAGAACAATGACTTCAAGTATGACATATTTGGATGGATTATTCTTGCAGTGAGTATAGTAGCATGGGTGGGAATGGCCAAATCTAACATTCCCCCGCCACCTCCTAGATAAACATATTTCATGATGCATCATTACCAAATTAATTTATGATAGGTTCTTAAAGATTGGTTTCTTGAAAATTGGCTCTTTTATCGTCAAAGTGTCTACATACTGATTTCATTAATTTTTAAATCGACTTAGTGACTTCGTTTATCATTTTTGTATGACCTGTTATTCTCTTGTGTGCTCTTTCTGTACAAGATTGTTAACCACTGCCTAGCTAAAAGAGGGATATGAATGATACCTCTGATATGTACGTTATGTTGATGGTATGAAATGAAACCAACTTGATATCTTTATAATTGGTTTTATACTTACGTTATGACCAATGATATTGAAACCTCACTATATAATTAAAATATTCTAATAGTTGTACAAGAATTTCATTTCACATGATACCAATTCAATTCACATATATATCCAAACATGTAATCATCAAAACCTTAAAAAGTAGTTTACCAACTAGATTTTGTTTTTGTGCTTTGTACGTGTTTTAAAATTAGTTTATTTTACATAAATTTTATCCTCGAGATTTGCAGTGTTAGATAAGAATAGTAATTAATAATTGTAAAGTGACTAATAGTTAAAATAAAAACTGACTGAATAATTTAACTTCAAATGTAATTTGTTTATTTCAAGTTAAAATTTTAATTTATATATTTAAAAATGTATAGTTAATTATTCTTTATTTTAGTTATAACATTATTTGTGCATTTAATATAGTATAATTAAATATTTTTCACGTGCATTGTACATACGAAGATATTAGTTATAATTAAGTTCGTTATGAATCAATATTTTTAATTTAATTATAATGAATCGTTTAAATTATGTAAAAAAATATTTTTTTATTTAAGTTTAACTTAGAAATGAACTAAAGATTGTAGACTGAAAGATAAATCAAAAACCAAAAAGTAACTGAATAACAAAAGGACTAAAAGATATAAGCATTTAAAAAGTGATATTACAAAAAGCAAGATTACAGATAAATATATAACGATTAAGTTGAGATGGTTTGAGAGGTAAAAGATTAACTAATAATGGGAAATGAAAGCAGAAAATATGTTTATAACTAAGTGAAGTGAGCAAGTATCTTTTCGAACTCTCTACATTATATTTTATAATTATATTATAATAGTAAGTATATTATGAAATAGATTACGAAGAATCAAAGTTTTGGAGAGTGAAGTCAATGAGTTGAGTTACATACATTTATATAATTAGTGCGAAACCCATGAGTAATCAAAAGACCAATATTTGTGTAAAAAGAAAGACTGAAATGGTAGAAGACGGGTGGAATAATGTCTATTAATCTTTCTCAAAGAATTTGAATCTCCACTTTCAATGATTTTTTTTTTTCATCCAATAAAACTTTCAATAATCTTTGTTAAAGAAATTGACTGACCATTTTTAATAACTTTTTCATCCATGAAAATCAAGATTATACTCAAGGAAAGAGAATTGTATAGCTCGTAACAAACAAGTTAATGGTATGGTAATGCACCTACTTAATCTTACTCAACCTAAGCAGAAATATACTAGCATGTTCATGTATTTGAGTTAAATTAATCTATACAATTTGTAATTTAACTATCATCAAAACAGACATAAGATTATGTACTCAACAAATCGTACTTCAGACTGTGTCCACATCACTGATTTGGCTCAACTACTTTAAAAAAAATTTACAAAGTGTTTTTCAACCCTGACTTAATTTAATTCGTTTGATTACATTATACACAGCCATTCATGGTGGAAAGCTCCACCACTTTCTTTCAATGGTAAGAATAATTTGAGGTGTCAAATGTTTATTGGTTACCATGACATTACTCATGGGGAAGTAATCTACTTGGGCCATATATAATGGCCACTAACACACACCTTTAAATTGGAGTATGTACGTGCCTAAGGTATGCCCTATCATACTTCAGTTAACTTTAAAACGTCAAAAGTTGGCGTAAAGAAGATTCCTCTTCAATTTAACTTTTCTCTCGTGAGCGCTTCTTCCAAATTGCGAGCATGCAATATTTTCTTTATCTCTTGGGAATACTGCAAAGACAACCTGCTTTATTTGCTTTTGCACTAGTTAATACATTTTCTTTAGTCATTGGATTTGCGTTAATGCTCTTTTCCTAAATCATGGGGTTTAATAATCATAATCCATTCAAACACCATTCATTTAGGAAAATGATATTTCACAACTCAAATCTATATCACTCCTGAAAACAACTCTATTTTAATATTATAATAATAGTTTTATTTTATTTTTATTTTTATTCAATCATTCTATATATTATTATATTAAGAAAAGTTAGTTGTTTAAAAGGTTGTATAATTTCTGGTTGTCAAAATATCACCACTCATTCATTTATTGGGTGTTTTTCTCCAATAATCACTTCACTTCATAAATGATGTATTCTTATTAGGGGTTCTAAAATCTGTATCTATCTACATATCTTATGTGAAAGGACCCTCCCATTCAACAATACTTACAAGGACCACTTTCTTTCACATATTTATACATGGAGAGGGATCAATAAATCGAGAAATTTATAAGACTTTAATTCGATGTTTTATTTTATTTTAATTTATTTTTGAAAGATAGTAAAAGTTATTTGCTTAACTTTCAAGTTGTTTTGTATTTTATTAATGACACTTATTAAATTTATGTTATGAGAGGAAGATTTTGTGTTTGGATAGAATGAATGAAAGAAGGGAATAGGAATGAGAAATTTCATTTTAAAAGTTGTATAATTTTCATATGTTCTCGTCATATTTAAAAGGAAATTTTGTAAATTTTTTCTAGAAGAATAAGAAATTATATTCGTAAAGAAATTGATGACTCAAAATTTTGTATAATTATTGATGAAACTCGTGATGAATCTAGAAGAAAACAAATGATTATTGTTTTGAGATTTGTAGATGAAATGAGTAATATTAAAGAATGTTTTTTTAATATTGTGCATGTTAAGGATACTACAACTACTACTCTTAAAAGAAAATTATGCGTTGTTCTCTCTAGACATAATCTTGATGTTTCCAATATTTGTGGGCAAGGATATGATGTTGCTAATAATATGAGAGAAGAATGGAATGGATTGTAAGCATTATTTCTTTATGATAATCCTTATGCTTATTATGTACATTGTTTTGCTCATAGATTACAACTTGCTTTGGTTGATGCTTCAAGAGAAGTTATTCCAGTTCATCAATTTTTTTCAATTTGGCTTTTATTATAAATGTTGTTTGTTCATCTAGTAAACATCATGATGAGTTACAAAGTGCAGAATTAGATGAAATAGCCAAATTGTTAGAATTTTGTGAACTTGAAACCGGTAAAGAAAAAAAATCAAATTGATACTTTAAAACGAGTTGGTGATACTCGTTGGAGTTCACATTTTCATTCCATTTGTAATATGATGACATTGTATAATGCATCTTGTTTAGTTCTCCAAAAAATTGTAATTGATGGTTCAACTTATTCTCAAAGGGGTGATGCTGATGCTGCTTATAATATTTTGTCTGAGTTTGAGTTTATATTGATTTTACACATGATGAAAAAAATTATGGGAATTACTGATTGTCTTTGTCAAACTTTACAGAAACAATCTCAAGATATACATAATGTTATGCAATTAGTCTACATAATGTTATGCAATTAGACTAAAATTTTGATTCAAAAATTAAGAAAGGAGGGTTGGCAAGATTTGTTGAAAGATGTGATATTGTTTTGTGAGCAACATGACATTGATATTCCTAATTTTAATTCTACCTATGTAGCACGTCATGATCGTTCTCGACATAAAAAAGATTGTACTACAGTAGAACATCATTTCAGGGTGAACATATTTTTATTATAGTGGGTAAACAATTACAAGAATTAAATGATAGGTTTAGTGAAAAAACAATGAAACTTTTAACTTTAAGCAATGTTTTAATTTCAAATGATGTTTATAAAATTTTTAACATTGATCATATTGCACACTTGTGAACAAATTTTATCCTTTGGATTTTAGTGAACAAGAGAAGATTAATTTAAAATTACAACTTCATCATTTTATACTAGATGCTCCTAACTATCAAGATTTGAAGAATTTGTCTACCATGTTTGAATTATGTCAATCTTTGACAAAAATAAGAAAGTCAGGTACATTTTACTTAATAGATAATTTAATATGTCTTATTTTAACTCTTCATGTTTCTACAACTACAACTGAGAGATCATTTTCTGCAATGAAAATTATCAAAACAAGACTGTGAAATAGAATGAAAGAAGAAATTCTTGTAGATAATATGATCATTTATATTGAAAAAGAAATAATTGAAAACTTTAGTTCTGATTCCATTATTGATGAGTTCAAATATTTAAAAGAACGAAATACACAATTTTAAATTAATATCTTATTATTTATTTATTATTATATAATTTTTTTATAATTGACCCCAGATCGATCGGTCAAGATCCGCCACTGTTCTCAATATACTATTTATATTGGTATGAGCCTAAGTAAAAAGTGAGTAAGAGAAACCTTTAACCATGGATAATCAAACACCATCATCAGAGTCTAGTCCCATTGGTCCCGTTTTGTTAAACTCAACTCTTTCTTTTCCCAAAAACATCTCAAAAACTCTTTCTTCTAAGATAGAAAACCTCATAGAGTATTCTTATGTCCCGGAAGATACTCAGATCCCTGAGACTTACATTCCTCTTTTGAGTCCTTATAATATCTTTAGGAGACAAAGATCCACCCTTAGATCTATCACTCGTCTTCTTTCTACTGGAAGACCTCATGTCAAGGAGTACGTCCAATCCTCCAGGATGAACTAGTGTGCCCTAGCATCCATCACAGAAAAACAATATGTCAACATTGAGATCCCTAAAGATCTCATTAGGCACTGACAAACTGATGGTTATACTCATCTCCACTACGGGGCTATCTGACTAGTCCTCTCCCTCCATGGAAGACAGAGATTACTTGTCCCAGTCTGACTCTAGCTACTTCCATTATAAG